AATTTAACTGGAGCATCCAAGGAGAATTCACTGAATTGCGCTCAGTCCGGCTATTTTTGCAAAACATAAGTCAAAATCGATTAGCTGACAGTGAAGATCATGTAGCTATGTACAGCAACGCAACACCCATCTGCACAGCAGGGCACGGGGGAAAACGTGAAAATGCACAAACAAATGTGTGAGAAGCTTGCAGAACGGGAAAACTGTATAAAATTGTACTGGCAAACACCGAAGAACTCAGTTATCCCGCAGCGCACAGATGAGATAACTAAAAAAGAATTATGCACTGAGATAACCTTAACGCCACGCAAACGACTGCAGATAGTCCTGCCGCTCTAGCAACGCTGCAAAAAGTGTTGCCTAATAAATTAATTAACAAAATCCTCTGCAGTGGAGAGACGCAGCGAGAGGTGCCAGTACGTTTCAGTACAAATCCAATGAAGTACCGTGGTTCAAATCTGGCATGAGGGATATTATCAAGAGAGTGCAAAGAATTTGGCTGCTGAAATGAGAGACAACAGATGGACAAAGCCGATTACTGAATGGTGCCTTCGCAAATTTAAATAAACACGACGGTCCCAAGTGCGGTGAATGAACGCTCCCGCACGGCTATATGGAATAATGTGAATAAAAGGCGCAAAATAGAGAGTAGAGAATTTGTTAACAACGCTGGTGCAGAGTGAAGAAATAGCTGATCAAAGCGATGTAATACCTTATGCGCAATAAAAACAGTGTGTCGAAATTTTTTTTCAGTTTGATGAGCACATTCAGCGAACACCACAAATTGGCCACTTTATCCTTGAAAAAAAAAATTAACAGAGCAATTAAACACTCAATAAAAAAACACAAAGAAAATAACACAACATATCAAAGTACAAAATGTGAATGAAAAAATTACCGAAGACAAACATACCTCAAATAAACCTCGGTAAAATGGAAAAATTCGGCGCAAAATTTGAAATAAATCAGATCTCGTATAAATGAATGGAAACCACAGGACAAACATTGTGCAGCTGACACAAGTGAACAAGACGAGCAACTGCCGCAACCAAGCGCAGTAACTGAAAGCAATGAAAAATGTTAATTCAAATCCCCTCTTTCTGCCCCCTTTACATTCGTTTGTACTTCTTTCACAAAATCACAATTTTT